TGGAGGGTGCAATAGAACAGACTAACCGAGATCCGAAACTTTTCATATGTTATCCTTGCTGTATGCGGTCTTGTTTTGTCATAGAGGAGAACAATATTTTCCTACTGACGCGCGCTTTCGACCAAACCTTTATAAACCCATTTTGGCTGTTGAACGTATAAATGTGCATTTTGCGCTTCACTGCGTTTTAAGAAATCTAAATGAATATTTCTTCGCTATCACTCTAGTCTTACGATATTAACTTTGATGCATGGAGCTTAGTTTTTGGAATCGGTTGTGGAGATTTATCCTTATCATTTCACTGCCTTTTGTGATGAATATTGTCGTATGTAATCCATTTTTAATTACCTGTTTATATATATATATATATATATATATATATATATATATATATATATATATATATGTGTGTGTGTGTGTGTGTGTGCATATATATATATTTAAGAAATTATTTTAAGGATTATATAGATTATATTTAAGGAACGGTTAGTTAGAATGATACTTTCATCATTACAATTGTTTTCTCAAAACAGACATTACTTATGGCTTAACCTAATAGCGACACAATGATGAGTTAATCTTCATAAATCATGGTTATTGGTTGGAAAACAAGAATTTATTTGGTTGGAGAATTAACGAAAATATTAAAAATCAAAATAAATCGTAACCAACAATCACAGCATTCCTCGGAAGAGTGAGTCCCACTTCTTTGTTTATTCCTCGTCTCGTTGAAAAAGGATGTAGGCGTATCCGAAAATCCGACTTTAAAATCATTCTCTTCGTGCTTCAATTTAGGGAAAAAGCTAATATATAATAAATATAATCAATCTTATTGCCAATATTTTTATTATTTTGCTGTCTTTTTATTCCTCAAATTTCATTAAATCTATCTATCTATCTATGTTAAATTTCTGCAACTTCCGATTAAGTTGTTTTATACAATTGGTAAACTTACCAATTGTATAAAACAATTTAGCCAGAAGTTGGAAAACTTAATAAAAAATAGACATACAGTATTGTTCGACATAATTTGTTTAAAAGAAGTCTTGCTACTTAAAAACACGTGCGCGCACACGCACATAAACACACACACATATAGATATAGACAGATAAAGATAGATATCGTTGTTGTTACTGTTAACAACTGTCTACCTCTTAAATTCCTGCTGGCTCCTTGGTAGTTGGTTAGAATCAGTCCCGCCGAGAGGGACATATATATATATATATATATATATATATATATATATATATATATATATATATATATAATAGCACAGCATTCTGATTCTTGAATGACAGTCTTGTCTGCAAGTAATGGATGGGAAAATAGTATCTGGGGCGTAAATTTAATTCTTCTTCTTCTTTGCATCTTCTTCTTCTTCTTTCATCTTCTTCTTCTTCTTCTTTGCATCTTCTTCTTCTTTGCATCCGATGATTATACATGTCCTCGCCTTTCTGATGCTTTCTGCAACACCCTGTCGCTAGTTGCTGCGGTAACATAAAGGTTGCTCCCAGTTATCTGGATCACAGTCTATAAATCTCAAGTTATGCTTTCAGACTTCCTTAAAGCGCAGTGTCTACTTAGTGATGTCCTGTGGCCAGGTCACTGTACATAACAACCTTTCCTATGCGACCATCTTTCATTCGATAAACATGGCTCAACCATCGCAGTTGGTATCATTATAAGTCATTATTTATGATTCTTTTTGTTCTTACTGACATTGTAGTGTTATAAACGAGTAAGATTTTCATGATACTGAGAAATCGATTCAAATTCGACATTTTTCAGAGTAAATAAAGAAGAGAATAAGATTCAGGAAAGTTTAATCGTTGATCTTAAAAATTAGGCTATTGGTGTATTCCTAAGAAACAACCGTTTTTTTTGTATGTTTTGACTGGCCTCTTTATGCAAAAGCTATGAAGTAGTGTAACAGAAAAAAGACAGTACAAGAAAAAAGGTCTGACTAATTTCGATTTAGGTTCTTTTCGTTTTATATTAGTGACCATTACTCTAAATTCCTGCACTCACTCTGATCACCAGATATCTTGGTAAAAGTGTCTCGTCCCTGGTATGCCACGATGTTTAATGGCGAGGAGAGTGATTGATCAATGCGGCAAACCACACTATCATAATTACTTACCTTAGCAGCAAAACCAAAAGCTGTTACAAGCCTAGACAACTTTGAGAGAAGCTAAACTATTTACGAAACTGATAAATACGAAAAAAGAAAGACGACGACAGATTGCATATATAATTTATTTTAATTTCAAGACAACTTTTTTATCTATGTAACCATTTCAGTAAATTCGATTCTCAGGTGGGATTATTGGATTTCAAAACTGTTAATGTGTTAAATGCACACACACACACACACACACACACACACACATACACACACACACACACACACACACACATATATATATATATATATATATATATATATATATATATATATATCAAATATATATAAAGGATGTTCCAATAACCTAGGCCGATTTTAAATGTGAAGTTTAAGCGTCTAATGATTTCAACCATGGAAAGGTTAACAATCAAACAACGTGTTAAAGTCTCAAGAGTGCAACTGAAAAAATTGTGCGTAAATTCAAACAAACAGGGTCGGTGGCAGATGTGAAAACACCATTGTGTGCACGTTTATGCCGTTCAACTGAAAACATTGCTGCAATGTACGAGAATGTGGCCGAAAATCCAGACCCCTCTATTCGTCATCGCGCGCAGGAATTTAACCTCACCACAACAACGTTACATCGTTTCCAGTTGCACTCTCGGTTGGTCGATTTATGTTGACCAAAAAATCGCGAAGTGCTCGAAATGCATTTCTGTTTGAACATTTATTTTCGTAATAGGCTTCGATAACTTTAACACGTTTTTTGATTGTTAATCTTTCCATGGTTGAAATTGTCAAAGACTTAAGTTGTTAAATCTGAAAGAAAAAGAAAAAAATAATTAAACGCTTAAACTTAATTCACTTTTAAAATCGGTCCAAGTTATTGGAACACCATCTCTATATATGTACCTGTAGTCAGTATTGGTAAATATGTATTGCGAATATATTCTTATATTTTTTTCAGTGTTATAAATATATATATAACTCGTTGCCTTTTCAAAGATTTTGAATTCAAATTTGTCCTCCTAGACTTGTTGTCCAACCAAGGCTAGGGAACCAAGTCTACCTCACAATATCTGCGGGAAGAGGGGATGGATTCATGCCTTTGTTCCAATATAATGATTCTATAATTATCTACGCCCACGAATTTATATATTAGTGTATCCAGAAAGTAATTACTATGAATTACGAGTCAACCAATTAGGCAGAATTATGGTCGAATTGCAGGAAACTGCGTCAAGAAATAGTTTACCGTCTTTTCTATGAGGCAATGTGTCTTTTATGACGATTTTCAGAGTTTAAACACATAGAGGATTTATAACTTTATAAACAACGTATTCACTATTGCTTCCTGAATGAATCCGAAAGTGTGGCACTATTACAGAAGCATTTAAAGTCATTTGTACAGTGTATATAGAGGCATTGAAGGCTTGTGAAAGTCATTTGCCACTTAAAAGACTATTTTGACATATTCAACATACCTGAATTTAAAAGACAATACACTTTGAACGACGAAGTTTTGCAAGAGAATATTCAAATAGGTCTAAAACAAAGCATCATAGATTTGGTGCAAGAACTTAATGTATCATATTCATATGTCTACAAACTTATCAGGCGATTGGAAAAAAATTTACAAGGAGGGATTTTAGGTTCCTAATGAAATTTCACTTGAGAACCTAGCATAACGTTCAGTCACCTCTAGCGATATTTTAACCAGGGATGATTTATATGTTAACATAAAGCGACAAAGTTTGTGGTTATCAATAAACGAGAAACAGTAAACACTGGACACTATCCATAAAATCATTTCTTTGTCTCTGGTAGAATATAAAATGTATCACCCATTACGATCTTCTGAGACATACAAGGACCATCAGTGCCGACGTTTTATTCGTAGCAACATGATCGAGTAACGAGGTATTACGTCGAAAGTGCTCTGATTTGGTAAAAGAAAAAAATACATTATTCTCCATCATGACAATGCAAGGGCACACTCCGCAAAACAAACCCAACAAATATAAGATATTTAGAACAGGAGGTTCAGTTAGATATCCAGCACCTAACATAATTATCATCTAGGGAGTTTCATATGTTTCGATTTCTAGAATATTTCATATATTGTAGAAAATTCAGAAACAAAGAAGAAACTGAAAACAGCCATTTAAATATTTTTTCGGATAAGAAACCAAAATTCCTTCACGTTGGGCTGTAATCGTTTAAAATGGAAATGATTACATATTTGATAAATCCTATTTAAATAAATTTAACGTATGTTTGTTTTTATATCCTATCTGTTAAAAACCTAATTACTTTCCGAAAACCTAATATATATATATATATATATATATATATATATATATATATATATATATATATATATATATGTATATATATATATGTGTGTGTCGATAAATAGAAAGAGCGTGACATACAGACATACGATGATGTATTGAGAAGTTTTCTGTTTGCCCAAGAAACTTATTCCCTCTCCCCCAAAAATTGTTTGATCATTCGGTCAGATTTTGGGTAATGAGTCATGTCGATTTTTTTCCCCCACTTTCATCTTGCGAGTCTGGACATTGCTGAAAACGGAGATGAGTTGTTAAATAGTTATCGGCCCATTCAAATATAGATTAAAACAATATTTTTTTTATTTGGTCAGATTTTCCTTACCCCAAGTAATATATGGGATTTATTAATATTAATTTTGATTGAATGTTTATTCAATATTATTTAAAAAATTGATGTCTTTAAGCATTTATTTTCAAATCTTTCAAACAAATAATTTTTAAATTAATTCTGTTTGAAGATTTTATCTGAATAGGTTTCTGTTATTAACTAATAATGATGATAATATTTTTCTTCCTTTAGGACGATCACACAAACCAGGCAGGCGCGTAGCTCAACTTGACTATGAGCCTCGACAGACACAGTCAAAGAAAAAAGTTTTACCGGTTTTAGATTGTTGCGTTATACCGGCCAATAAACTGCATACGGGACATAGGTAAATACATTCTTAAAAAATATAATTTGATTTTCAAGGAAACAATGTTTTTGTCTTGTCTGTAATGTAGTCGATCTTGACCAGGCCTTTCAAAGCAACGGGAAACCACTATTTTTCCCAATAAGTAATGGCAATTCTCAGATAATACAGAAAAGGAATTTTTGAAGATCCGTGAATGTTTATGTCCTGAACGGATATGACATTAAAAAAAAAATCTAGTATCACTGATTTTAGGGTATGCTCAGCGGAACATATTTTCTAGTACATAAAGGAGAAAAAAAATACATGAAAAATACATGAAGAAAATACATAAAAAGGAGAAAAAAGAAAAAAAAAAGAAAAATACATGAAGAATACATGAATAAAAAGTACATGAAATGGAGAAAAAAGAAAAAACAAACAAATTTTTTTCCATTTAGGATTCTTGGTAATAATCCGAGTTTAATTTGTCTCTTTGTTCTGCATATATCCACCTTGTCCTTCGACGTTCTATGATAAAATTTTCAGATAGCAGTCATTAAAATTTTTCTAGTTAATACCGGTTTTTCCACTTTTGTTTTCCAGTGGTTTCGTATAATATGAAAGTGCATTGACATTGTAATTTAATTGTTTAGTTTTGTTTATTTCATGATAGTTTGTGATTCAAATGGCTTAAAGGGTGAATAACTCAACTCTTGAGTTAAGCATTTATTATTTTTATATTTATATATAGATGAAAGTCGGCAATTTAAGATATTTCATGAATTGTCGCGAGTAAGGTGTGATCTGGTAAAAATTATATTAAAATCCTTTAGTTTACGATTAAACAGTTTGGCTTCCCAAGAGCTCTTTAATTACTAGACTTTAAGACGACTACTTTCCAGCATTAATTTTCTTTTTTATTGCTAGAATTTCTAGCATTTAATGGAAGACTCCAACAGGAATAAAAGTAATTGAACTTTTGCACAATTTTATTTTCACTAATAATAGCAAGCCTAAGTATAAAGTATATTCATAAATTTTCACCTGAAATCTACCTCAGCTTTATCCACATACACACTCATCAAGCTGATAGATTAATAGACGCTCTTAATGCTATATCTAGGTACCTCCATTCATTTTTGGTGAGAAAGTATTTTGTGCTGATCAACGATCGAAGCTTGTATAGGTTTATTTCCATAATATTTGTATCATAAATAAACAGATTGGCTGGAGCAAATTCTGATATAAAATTATTTAGAAACGGGAACATCTGTGTTTGATTAATGTGCATAAAACTGTGTAACGTTATAAATTACATAAGAAAATTTTTAAGCGAAAAAAAAACATAATTCAGAAATCTATCAAAAATCTGCCAATTATCTTTTGGCACACTTTCATTTATGAGATTATGGAAAGGATAATTTTTAAGAAAGATTTGTGAGAATAATTTTTAAGTCAAATATATCCATCTTTATTTAATTATATAAAATTAAAAAAATATATCTGTTGGACACAAAAATGTTTACAGTTGACGGAGAAAATAAATAAAATTGAAATTCTATTTGAAACTATCGTGAATCCGAAAATAAAATTAAAAGAATTTTCAGAAAAGAATTTGAATGTTTTAAAATTCTTTCTTCATTTCTTTGAAAGTCCTAGTAGAAGAACATCCAGTAAGCATCAAAATCGCTACACTGGCAACTGTATTGCGAGACATACATAGATAGCAAAATACGTTAGAAAGCGTAACTGCTTTTAATTTTATATATATATATATATATATATATATATATATATATATATATATATATATATATATATATATATATATTGTTTGCAATATTAAAAAAAAATAGTAAAATGATTTAAACTGTAGATTAAAATTTATTATTTTAATTTACATGCAGATAATTTCAATTTCCTATATCAATTTTCAATGGGTTTCCCATAGCCTTTTGCCTGACTAAGCTACATTTAATAAATAATCTTGCCATTTTTCTTGTAATTGTGTTCAAAATTTGTGATAATGAACCAGATGACGTGAAAATGTAAAGTTAATTTTCTGCGAGTTACAAATATTGGAGATTGCCTTATTTATAATTCATTTCATGACACTGGCGTTTTTTTTTATTTTTTATATATTTTTAGTTGTTTATTTATTCTTTAAAGGTTGGGCGGCGGAATCTTTGCTGATACCTACGTTGGTAAATATGGCGACTGGACGATTTCGTTGAAACGCCTCACATTGGTGATCCACCAGAACCAGTTGACAGCTCCTGTCATTGAATGGATGAAAAAGGAAGTCAGCTATTTCAGGTGAGTTAATCTTGCGTAGTTTGTTGAACGACGAAGGCTCTTAACCTGTCGTCACGAGTGACAAGTTCAAGTTATTCAATAGCATGCAAAAATGTACATGCTAATGTTTTATTCATTTGTTACTTATTTTTTGTCGCTTAAGTCACTTTTGACATCATCATCGTTTTCTTTGTTTCCTTATAATTTATTTTAGTGTAGTTTTCTTTGTATTTCATTTTCTCATTCTCTTTTTTTAAACTATAGTTTTTATTTTATTTTTTACTTCAATTCTAACTTTTCCAGATTTTCTTCCTTTTTCTTTTCTGTCCTCCTTAATTTTTCTTTACTTTTCCAGCGTTCTCCTGTCATTTAATCATGTTATTTTTTTCCTTTTTTATCTGCCTTCATTCATTCTTTTATTCAATCTCTTCTTCTTCCCTCACCTCCTCCTTTTTTCTTCTTCTTTGATCCTTTTATTTCCCCCCTTCATTTTCCTCTTCCTCGATCCTCTTATCTTTCTTCTTCCTCAATCCTTTTTCTTCCTCTTCCTTGATCCTCTTCCTCGTCCCTCTTCTCTTTCCTCTTCCTCGTCCCTCTTCTCTTTCCTCTTTCTCGTCACTCTTCTCTTTCCTCTTCCTCGATCCTCTTCTCTTTCCTCTTCCTCGTCCCTCTTTCTCGTCACTCTTCTCTTTCCTCTTTCTCGATCCTCTTCTTTTCTCTTTTCCTTGATCATTTTCTCTTTCTTTTTCCTTGCTTTTGTCATATTCCTTCCTTTCTTTTTCTTTGCTTTTATTTCTTTCTATTAATGCTTCTTTTCTTTTTTATTCTTCTTCCTCCTTTTTATTGGTACTTGTTTTCTATTATTTTTTCTTCTTGTCTTTACCCATATTTCTCCCTGTTCTTTCTATTCTTTCTTTTTTTCTTCTTACTTTCTCATCACCCTTTCTTCTTTCGACTCTTGCTTCATTCCTCTCTCTCTCATCTTCCCTTTGTTTCCCTTTTATCGTTCAAGTCCTTTTTTACGCTTCTTTATTTTTCTTATTGATATTTTTCTTGCGCTGTATTATTGCCTCCTTTATACCGCCTTAATTTCTGTTAATCTATTTTACTATTTCTTTCTTCTAAACTTTTCCTTTGTTTTCAGTTCTCTTTGATTTCTTCTTCCGTTCATTATCTTCACTCTTCCTCGTTATCTTTCCACTTCAGTGCGCATGTCACTTCACAACATTTCCTTCCTCTTATGAACTGAGTAAAAACTCTTTTATTTCTCTTAACGATTTTCCTGTTCCGTTCAATTTTTTCTCTTACGTGTCGAGTTAAGCAGGCTTGTATCTATTCCTGTCACATCTTAAGATTAACTCATCCTTTTATATTTTTGAACTTACTAAAAAATTATTGGATTCGAGCGTAGTTTGTGGTTAAAGAAAACACTGTTTAATTGAATATTTTGAAAAATACAAGTAATTTTGATCTCAGTACGTTTTCATTACGAAAGTATTGCTTTGACCTGTTTAGTATGACACAAGGTGGCAATGTGATATGGAATGATCAAGCACGCATGAGTAAACAATCATTTTAATGTAAGTGTTTTTTTTTTTTACTGTATGGATGTTCACTTGTATACGAAGATACCTGTCTATTAGGGTGGTTAGCTAATCCTTGTTGCAGACATCTGCTCAGACACATTTGCGCTTGTTCAACTCCGACAGCACCTGCCTGTGGTTTATACTGCAACTATGCTGAGCGGATCTTAGCTACAGTTTCTGAGAAAGAGCGCGTTATATAGCGTGACCAACAGTTTGAACAAGGCTAGCACCCTCAAACTCTCAGTCACGATGACTTTTGACTTCGTGCTAGCACAACCATCAACGTCTCCCAAAGGCTCTGTCTACCCAATTTCACTCACAATGTTTAGGTTAACCCGTGGTATTGTTTTCAGGCAGTTTCCAAAGGTGCGGCACGCTGAGATCGTTATCTCCAGACTAATAACATCAAGAAGTCACCTTCCTGACAAATGGTTGGGGATTCGCTTCCAGGTTTTATGGTCAGAAAGAGAACGTTCTAACCACTCAGCCACTTGCCCATATATATTTTTTATTACTGAAAAATCGATACATTAATGAATTGATTCACTTATTTTACGGCTTATCAACCCTTTGTAGGTTATTTAAAGCCAGAATATTTTTTAGATTGTAAGAATTTTGGAGGAGTGATAACAGTGGTTTAGTGATACAAGTCTTACTAATTAACCCGTAGCTGGAGGGAGAAGAGATGACTTCATATTGTTCCCAGTGGTATTTGCACGTAATTGAATATACAGTTCCAAAGTTATGTGGTCGCAAGCAAGTATTGATAGAACTGAATAGATAAGTACAGCTGTTTGAAGTTAATCTTTCTTGAAAATCGCCCTTTAATATAAACACAATCATGAATTTTACAATTTATCTATTTTTACAGCGTCCTTGACTGGAAAAATATCTGTGTAGATACGAGTTAAACAATCTCTAAAAATCAAGGGCTAAGGAAAGAAGCATACAAAGAAATCATGTTAGAACATAATTGGTGTTTAAAGTAGTTGTATATTTCTCAGTATCATTACTACTAGTTTCGAATCTAAGTAAAAGACATCATTACGAATGTTGATTTTCGAGGCTGGTATAATCTGCTTGCCTGGGTGCAACGAAATCTCCCTCTCACGTTCAACACTGTACTCGAGTTTACCAATAAATATCGTTTATGACGATTTTCTAGGCGTAATAGAATTGCATATAGATAGATTGTGATTAGATTTAGATGGATTGTGATTAGATTTAGAAAGATTGAGATTAGATTTAGATAGAAAGATTGTGATTAGATTTAGATAGATAGCTTGATTGTAATTAGATTTAGATGGATTGTGATTAGATTTAGAAAGATTGAGATTAGATTTAGATAGAAAGATTGTGATTAGATTTAGATAGATAGCGTGATTGTAATTAGATTTAGATGGATTGTGATTAGATTTAGAAAGATTGAGATTAGATTTAGATAGAAAATTTGTGATTAGATTTAGATAGATTGTGTTTATATTTAGATAGATAGCTTGATTATAATAATATTTAGATGGATTGTGATTAAATTTAGATAGAGTGTAATTAGATTTAGATAGATAGATTGTGATTAGATTTAGATCGATAGATAGGAAGATAAATAGCTTTATATTTAAATAGATTGTGTTTAGATTTAGATAGATAGCTTGATTGCAATAAAATTTAGATGGATTGTGATTAAATTTAGATTCACTGTAATTACATTTAGATAGATTGTGATTAGATTTAGGTAGAGAGATAGGTATTTGCTAAGTCTAACTTAGTCTCAGGTTATTCAGGGAAATGGAACAAGACAATATATAACTACAAAAGGTAGAAAATACCGCCAGACTTGTTTGCAAACTTATACGACTTGACTGTTTCTCATCTATCTTTTCAGCAAGTGATGAATTATGAATTAGGAAGAATTATTACATTGAAGTTTTGTTTTTACCTCGAAGTTTCTATGAATCAATTGAATAAATTAAGCATTAAGATTAGAGAGAAAAATTCCAATCACTGATGGCAAAGAACATATTGTAATGAAGGTAGATAAAGAGATGGAACAAATTATAGAAAGAATTTCAATCTTAATATTCAAGACTTTAATGCTATCATTTAAGGTAAGCATTTTCACTAGATCACACATTTGGTGAAGTTGTGAGGATAGAACGCTACAGAAATTGGTCAAATAGACTAGCTCATTAACCATTACTATGTGCCAAGGCTTCTAGAGGTGCGAATGTTCGGTGCAAGTGGCATTATTTTTACCACTAATATTAACCTTTTAATGTCCATTGTTCAACGGGAGGAGCGTATCAGACGAATAATAATTGTGTTTTATTGACACACAAACAAAAAGGCCAAAATACACTATGTGTTTAAACATCGTGTTGAGACACATTTAGCAATCGTCTGTTAGCATAAAAAATATTTCTTAACATATGGTTTACTAGTGGAACAGTGAGCTCTAACAGGTTAATGTAGACGGCCGCTGGTAGTTGTAATGCCGATGAAGCGACAGAAAGGTTATGGCGTGGAAGATGTATTCAGAGATCCAAGTTTGAATGCGAGTTCTGAATTCGCCTTAACGTTTTTGAGAAAAGCAGGAAATCGACCGCTCTCTGTGCTTAAAATATCTTTTCACTGGTTGATGGCAAAAAGAGTGGATGAGTGAGAACTTGGACAGGCATGTCGTAACAATTGACGAAGAGAAAATGTAAGAGAGAAGTTAGGCAATCGACTCTCCCATAACTACTTGATCTGTTATTCCTATTGTTAAAACATTATTTAATGGTAGAACTAATTGAAAAACTAGTTAAGCTTTAAATTCTAATGCGCAATGGACTGCATCACTGCAGCAAATGGAATCGGCAGACCAAGTTTAAATTCTGTTAGCCTGTAGTGTTTACTTTCACACAAATGAGAAATAGACATTAAGTCTTGGGACATAAATATTCGGAATGATTCATTAGTGACATTTTTAATACCATATTTCTTCAGAACGTAGACGATCATGGCTCTTCACAGTTCCCTTTTCTTTATTATATCTTAATTATCATGGATTTTTGGGAAATATAGTGAAGTGGTTTTCCATTGTGAACTCTGCACTTTGGAATTCAGAGTTTTCCTTCTCTTAGGCTGATTGATAACCTTGTCTACTTGTTATTTAACTCATACTTTAGCGGAGAAAAAATGGTTTCAAAACTTTCGCAAGATCATTTGTGTGAAAGTGAATGCTACAGACTAACAGAGAATTTGAACTTGGTTTGCCGATTTCATTTTCTGTAGTAATATTCATTGCACCATCCGTGTATATTAATCACTAAGTGTAACCGTAAAACTTGGCCGAATTAAATGAAAAGGCATTCTTTTAACGATACCGTGAATGATAATTTTCAATGAAGGCTAGAGAAAAGAATATTGATTAATGTTTTTTTGTTTCGAAATCAAACAGGAAGTATTTTTAATCTGATGACGTTCAAATTAAGACATACATTTAAAAGCAAGTGATTCAAAATTGATAAAGAATATGAGTCCATAATCTTCGGGAAACTTTCAAAAAGAGATTTCAGTCCGACAAGAGAGATTTGTACAAGAATGAATTCTAATAATCTCCTATTAGCTTAAGGAATTCCATTAGTGTTAACAAGAAAGTTAATGTAAAACTAATTAAATATGTAGATGGTTTATCAGAGAAGTTACTTTGTGTAGTTTTATGATTTTGTATAAGCAGAAAAGAACGAAACGCCATCGTCCTCGACGAAAGTAAAACACTTATAAAATTAAACACACACACACACACACACACACACACACACACACACACACACATATATATATATATATATATATATATATATATATATATATATATATATATATATTTAAACAGGCAAAACCGCATATGTTTTTCCCTAAAACGTAATTTTCTTTTCGGGTAACACATCATCAGAAGAATCGTTGGCGACTCGTAAAATGTTAAAGAGAATTGCGGAGTGACAAATAAACTGGAAGTAAACGAGGAACTACGATTAAAGTAGGATTTAATATTAAAAAGGGAGAAAAAATAAAAGCGGAAGGAAATGGGAAAACCAGAATAAATAGTTCCAGTGTGTATAAAATGGAAAATATAGACTGACAGGCCTCTCAGTAAACAAAGAGAATAAACAAATTTCTCTTTCTGTCGATACACACATAAACGCACACGCGCGTGCGCGCACACACACACATATATATATATATATATATATATATATATACACACACATGCTAGAGTAGGAATTTACTAGTAGATCTGCGTCTGATGACAGAAGAATTTTACGCTGTAAATTTACCGGATTCGAGAAGATTCCTTTCATCACATATGGTAAGAACAGCTAAAATTGCTCAGGTTTTAGAAAGTACGTCAAGCTGAGAACTTTTCAGTACCTCCGGGGACACGCACGCACGCACGCACGCACGCACGCACGCACGCACGCACGCACGCACGCACGCACGCACACACAGAGTATATAATTAGGCAACACGAATTCTTTTAAACAAATTGTATTAAATTCAACTGACAAGATCTCTCCATTTAGTGAATTTCGACCGGCTTCAGGTTAAATCTGCGCATGGACTTAAACTAATGGTAGTATATCCAAGGCGGCGATGACACGGCATCGCTGGGTAGAGGGCTTCCCAGACTGACGTCAGTGGTACGGGTGGAGGCTTTAACGCTCGCGTTTCCGTTATCATGGTGAGCTTTCAAGCCGGAGGACATCTACCAGTCTGTTTTGCCCAAGACCCGCTATGCATGCATGAATCCCTACCAAGACCACTAATGGGAATGATGACGATGATGATGATATCCCTACCAAGACCACTAATGGGAATGATGACGATGATGATGATGCTTTATATCCGGATGAGATTTATGGATAAACTCTCTGAGGTCCATGTTTTTGTTATGCTTTTGTTCGATTACTTGTTACTGTTTCTGTCATTATCAGCAATTTTCCAGCATCGTATCATTCTTAGCGACATCCAAGAATTTTCTAGAAAGTTACATTTCAAATTCAAATATCCGTGTATCGTATAAGCATGTATCATAACACTGGTAACTTAATCTATCTATCTATCTATCTATCTATCTATCTATCTATCTATCTATCTATCTATTATACACATTTTAAAATGGTGTCTTCTGTAGTGATAGCTATTTTATTTAATGTGTTTGAAATAATCAGATACGTAGAAAAATTAAACAAAGAACATTCACTGATTTTTCAACCTAATTGTACACACACACACACACACACAAGGGTGTGTATGTACGTCCGTGTATCTGTGTATTTTCTCATATTAACAACTGTGTAGATGAATATGTTCTGTAATTACATACATTTTCTAAGAATTTCACCCCAAGTAAGGTAGAAATGCCACTACTATGCGGGGAGGGGGGTTACAGTGAGTGAAAGTGAGAGAAAAGACTGAGTATAGGGGGGTTGAAGAAAGTACAAAAGCTGAACGGGATTCAAGAAGATAGAAGATGGCGATTGACGTTGCATTTCAATTTTTGAAGATTGTAGTTATCAGGTGAAGCAAGTAAACGGAAGGAAGTACCACAGGCGGGAAGTGTGAGAAAAAAACTGTTGGAGTAGAAGTGGCTATTACATTTACCTATTTCAACTGTAAAACTGTGGGTGTAGCTGTCAATCTAGTAGCACGCTTAAAATCATGTAGTCGGGGCATTAAGGGAAACAAGACTCGCCAGAACAGTTGCCACAATTTGTAGAAAAGACAGAGGGAAGCCACGTCACTACATATAAACATACATATACGCTGAAAAATATTCATAGAAAATTTGGGTAAAATTAAATTGTACCTGAGTTGAAAATAATAATTTTAGTTTTAATATAACTATTTATAAACTTTTATCACATTTAAAATTTAATAAAACAATCTATTACATTTGTTTTAAATTACATTTTTTTTGTAAATATTTGAATTTCAAGATTCTCTATGTGAAACCGCCGGAAATATTAAACAATATCAATTTTTATTGGATAAACTGACAATGCAATAATCAAGCAGATATTGTAATAGCCTTGTGTTCAATACCAGGCTATAGCAGTAAACCAAAAAAAATTGTAGAGTTAATTTAAAGGGAAATAACTGAGACATCCGGGTTCGGTTCGAAGTTCCAATCACCTGAAGAAGGCCGGAGCATACAACGACCGAAACTTTGTGAATAAGAAGAGGATAACAGTCCGAATAATGTAAATCTACCTAGTTATAGATATTCACCTATCCCATCATGTTCCATAAGCAGCCTTTAGTAAATAAAAAAAAATCAAAGGAAACTCTCCTTTTAGAATTATCCATGTGCTTTGTAAAACTGTTATAAGGTTCGTATACCTCTTGTAGTTCTGTGAGGAAAGACTGGAACTTGAAGGTTGAGTGAAGAAAAAGGTTTAGTTACATGAGAGGTGTGGATTAATAAAATACAATACCCTTAAGGCAATGCGTACGAATCGTTCTACTTATAGCAAATGGACGAGTCTATATTTAACTTTTACTGTAGAGAAGGTCATTCGTCTTTCTACACAACAAAAAACATTCCTCCACAAGATTTGACTTAAATAAGGTAGAATCCATTATAATTTCTGTTACAGTGGGCACCAAAAAGCTTTCGATATGTTAAAGAAGCCTTTTCAGATTTTAGAGTTTGGGAAGTGCGTCAGGCCGAGAAGCTATTAACTTCCCATTCTAACTTCTTAATATATATATATATATATATATATATATATATATATATATATATATATATATATATATATATATATATATATATATATATATATAGACACTCTATGGCGTGCTATTAGTTATTTTCTGACTTTCACTTCGCCTAACAGGTGTCCTTAGTAATGAAGAACAAATAAACTCCAAAGACAAATTGGTCCACCAGATAAAATTGCTACCCATTGCGCTACTGCAGGTTTATTTTCTAAATTTCCCTTCGTCTACCATAGAGACACGTCAGTAACTTTTCAATTGAACTATCCACTAGCGAATTAGCGAGATTGCTTTTGTTAAAAGTTATTCTGTATTAGAAACCTCTCTATTCGAAAACGTTTAGTGAGTTGATCTTTGTTGACCATTGTTACTTTAATAGTGAATTCGATCCACACTGAGTGCTCCATACATGTGGCCTTGTTTCAATATCAATAAACGCAAATTTTATATGTTTTTTCCAGTATACATCCGAGTTTTCAATTCTCCAAATATAGATTCGATTACGTTAAGGACAGTGTTTTGTCATCACACTTGTAACACTGCGATGTCTTCATCAGCGAAAAATATCTTTATTATACGCAATGTATGGCATGGTTATCCTTCCTGTTGGACTATTTCACTTTCTGCTATATCTGATAAGTGGGATTTTAGCAAATTAATATAACTTCTGCTGTTAACTGTTCTATTCATTTTATCACCTTTCTTGTACCATTGCTTTTGATGTAGCCTTAAAATATTAACCACCCATCATAGAATATTACCGTATTTGTTGTATATTTTGGTTTGTTCTTTGCACCAATTGATCTTCGGGAGTACTCTTTCGCATTAGAATTCAGTTCTACTTTGTGTTCACATTTGCTCATTCTTCATTATCCAAAAGCAGATATTCTTTTTATTCGATGTTTTTTGGCTAATGATTAATTTTCAGAAGCAATGCATCCATTTCGATTACTTTTACTCAGTATCTTTCATAACGTATGAATTGACACTTCAGTAGATATGCTTCTTTCATCGATTACTTTACAAGACGTTAATTATCGGGCGGATACTGATAACGCCGCTTGACTTCTTTGATACCTTTCTTCTGATTCCCAAGGTCAACCAATCTTTTTCATATTCCAAAATAACAACATATATATATATATATATATATATATATATATATATATATATGGTCGAGTAATTAGAACGTTCACTTTCCAAATGTTAAACCCAGTTTCGAATCTCTCTCCATGGTCGATTTGTCAGGAAGGTGACTTCTTGATATTATCGGTTTGAGCAGGAGCCGATTCCACCGTGCAGTACCTTTGGAAAATCGCTGAAAAACATATCACTTGTTGACTCAAGTTTTCTTTAATCTCCATCTTGATTCACCATTATTTTATATCCAGCTTACTAAATATCAACTGTGTCGATTGTGGCCAGACGCTATAAAATCACAGGTACGCAAACGTTTTCGGCCAGCCGTACCCAGACGACTTTCTTAGCGTCTACTTTGTGTACTCATATGAATACATTTCTTTCTTTATATTAGGTATTTTGTTCAGTTAATATAAGCCTCAAGAGCCACTCAAGTTGTAAGGGAAAATGAATACACCGCTGTGTTCATTCTGACCAAGATTTGCTATTGGCGTTGTTCAAACTGTTGATCATGTCAGATTATGCGTTCTTCCCACAAAAGCTGTAATTATTACGTACAGTGTAAACCACGGGTGCGTACTGTGGTTGTTGAACAAACTACACGCAAATGTGCTTGAGCAGACGTCTGCGACAGGGATTGCAGGCGAAAGAAAGAAGTTTCAGTTTCTGGGATTATTCTGTGAACATTTTCTAAAAGCAATACTTCAAGAAAACCATTTTATATTTTTAACCCAAACAAATAAAATTTCGGCGATTTATTCTTGAACAAGTTTAAATTATTCATTTTGACTTGTATTTCTTTCATTTTGTTTGTCTTTTCTGTTTCTGATGACTTAATTTATTATAGTAGAGTCTAAAACACTACGCAAGAGAATTGCGATAAAAACAACAAAAATAAATAGTAATAAAAGAAATGAATAACAACATACAGTGATTTATTTAAGACCTTCGGGTATCTTATAACTATTAACTCTTTATGTGTTGCTTTGCAATTCAATTTTTAATGTTTTCAACGAAAAATACGAACTATTCTTTGAGGGGGCAAAACAAATTGTTTTTCTGTTCTTTTCTACACGCTTCTTTCTTCCTTCCCTCCTTCTTTCCTTCCCATCCGTCAATCCATCCGTCTGGGAAGTTGATTGATACTTGATCAACCCGTAGGGATAGCCTCGTCTGGGTTCCTCTCTGCCCGAAGACAGAGAGTTTGACAAATAAGTCTTGATGCTTGATGTCCTCGGATTAGACAAAGTCCAGCTTATTAAATATCAACTATGTCGATTGTGGCCCGAATTTCCCACGAGGCAGGATTTTGCACGAATTATAATCTGTTACATTTGAATGTGCAAAAGATATACGTCCAGTGGAAAAGTAAATATAATATTTTAGATGGACATTATTTAACCGAAAAGGATGTTAATGTTTTCGAATTTTTGCTTTACATCAATCGGCACCGTCTTTGAAAAAAGTTACTGTAGTTTATGATAGTTTAATCCATCATCCAGTTTATCAGTGAAATAAATAAAGACATGAACGTATCATGTTTATTGTTAGCAAAACTAATAGCAATAGCAAATGTAAAAGTTTGTTTTAGTTTTGCCAGCTTTTCACTGAACAATAGGCGACGATTGGACTCCAGGTTTCAATTATGGAGTAAAGCTTACAACATCACACTGCATTCTTAATTCTTGTATTTCTTAATATTTCACTGGCACTTATATGATGAAATATTTGTTTTTAAACTGACGATAAACTGACGGAAAATAAAACAACAACGCTGAAATAGAAAATAAAAAAGTTAAGTAAATTACACAAGTGATTTTCACTTTCTCATTCATCGTGACATCCATGTTATTAAATACCTGATACATAGTTGTTGAATTTCAATCTGTAATTTACACTGTTAATTTTATGTAATCAATTTTCACCACGGAATTAAGTGCACAGATAACGAAGGAGATTATGTTGAAAATTAAATGTTTTTGTAAAATAAAAGCCTTTCTTCATTTTCAGGCTGTGGACGTATTGATTTACTCAAGTAAATATATCTATTTTAGTAAACCTGTCTTTATTTATATAATCGATTTTTAAGTTATGATAATGATTACATGTTTTATTTAAAATCAATTTCTCCTTTTGAAAAGGGTTAGACATTTTAGACGGAAAATTATTGTTTATTCAATCATCACAGATTGAAATAAAAGCAGTTTTTTATGACATCGAAAATAAATCCTTAAACCTCCTTGGCATCTATCCTCTACCTTCACTACTGAGCCATAGCTATTATTACATATTTCAATTACTTTGCATGTTTTTATCATACCTCGAAGACACGAAAGCAAGTACTGATGCGCTTTAAATATTGAATTACCAATAAAAAGTCCATCTTAGTTGGGTGGGGAAAAGAAAAAGAAAATGTAAAAGATGAGTTAATTACCTGCTTTAATGGAGTGACGTTATGCAAGACGATTAAAAAATCTTTCTTGCAACGTAAAAGCGAATGTCAATGTAGTGCAGCGGTTAGCGGCGCTGAAAGTGAAATTGTCAATCCAAGTTCTAATTACACCCGAGTTCGTTGCGTTCATTTACGATTTTTTTTTCACCAGCGGGGTTCGTTCAACATGTAGGTAAACTCCTTTTTCTTGGATCACCTATATGCTGAGATGTTGATACTTTTATTACAACAGTAATATTAGTTATACCAGTCTACGAATTTCTATGATGACACAGTTTTATTAGTGGTCATTTTTAACCAGTCTTTCATCTTCATCTTCCATGAAAGGAACATTGCTCAAATATTAATAATTACCAAAGTAGATATTAGTTACCAGTTACTAACAATTCCTTCCATTCTAATTTCACCAACACTTTTTCTAGTGCTTCCTCTCTTTGCTTCTATACGGTGCTGAGACGCGGCCTCTCAGTATGACTTTCGCATCTCGTGTCCATATCTATCTATCTATCTATCTATCTATCTATCTATCTATCTATCTATCTATCTATCTATCTATCTTTTCTAATTCTAGCAAACAACGACATCGTAATATTGTGAGTGTTCTTGGTTTGTGTCTCGAGACGCGTCTACCAGGTCTCATCGCAGAATTTGTTGATGGCGTCTCTGTAAAGGAATTCATGCGAAGCAGTTACAAATCGATGACATGGCCAACAAGGGCGAGAATAGTAAGTGCATATTTTTGTTTTTACGTTGTTGTCCAAACACATAGAAGATTTCTGTTTATGGCGTTTTTTTTTTGTTCACGGAACTTTCCATGTTTACTCAGTTGACATTAATCCGTTTATTGTTTCTTTCCTAGTCTTAAATCTAGTCGAGTTCGTATTCATGAAACATTCTCAAAATTCCGATTACTAACTATAGACCATTGACTGAATTAATTGACTATATACCTGAGTTAACAGTGGGTTTAACAATTCTACACGACATTCAAATAAGACTGTAGGTTTTGGTGAGGGCCATACTTCCCTGTAGTGTGCCGCAATAGAATCACACACAAATAACTGTGCAAAATAATAGAAACCACATCTCTTAAATGCAAGAAGAGATAACAGTGAACTTGAGAAACCCTTTTTTCCTGAAAAATTATTTTAATAGAAATATCTTATAAATTTCAACCAGCTGTAGCACTGGCTGCTCGGTTGATGAATGCTGAATGTTTCCATATAAGGAAAAGGCTAATTATTACCTATGATTCATGCATCGTTCTTAAATCGTAAATGTTTGCATGAAATAACGCAACTTGCATCTAAGTCTTGCCGGCAATAGCAAAATATCTAATGCATAGCTTTAGAAATTACATTTATTGACAATGTCCTTGAAAAAGTTTACAGCCACTTCTATTTCAGTCAATCAGTTTCGTGGTTCATCGCTTTAGTTTAATGCTTTAATTTTAGGGCGCGAAATTGTTTAAGTGCTCGCCCGGCCTGTTCAACCTCTACAGCGGGACAATTCTGAGAGAACTAGAAACCCTACCGGGATTTTGCATTGGCGGCCCCAATCTTAACAGCATAAGATAAGCAGATAAACAGAGTATTGATAGCAGACACACAAAAGAAATTACAAAATCTCCTACAGACGGTAGCGATGGAGAGTGTGAAGAAGGGACTAATCATAAACTACAAGAAAACAGAAAGAATGTTTATCAGTAAAAAGACGAGCACGAAATACGAACCAAGCAGACTCAGAAGTTTGAATATATGGGAAGTGTTCTGACAGAGTAAATGGATGACGGAATAAGGATTAGGAGATATAATAAAAAGATAACATCTATTAAGAGCTACAAGTGACAAGAAATTGTGGAGAGCCATGATCGCCAACATCCGGAAGGGACACGGCATATAAAATAAGTTACAATCTGGGAAATGTTTGACCATGTATTCCATCTGGCACCTTTATTCTTTCTATCGTATCGTCAGCTAATGCTCCTTATGATAAAGATGAATGCAAACTGTCTCTACAAGTTAGACATAATATTACTAGAAAACACAACAGAGAAAAGAATGTAAAATTAACGATGTTTTCTTTGAATAGAATAAAACTAAAAACTTTAGGTAATGCTATAAACAATCTCTTCTCAACACATGATGAGGACAACCACAAAATATTATGATTGAACAAAAGCTGAATATTTTAGTGACTTGATATTGGAGTCTAAATATATACTTGTACAATTTTTATAACATTGCTTAAAACTAGCTTGACATGTGTGTCTTGAAACACACCGCGTCACACGAATAAATACACATGTGTCTTTTTTTTCTATATGCTGCGTCCCTTCAGAACATGGGTGATCATAGCCCTCCAAACCTTCCTATTCCATGTGGCACTTAGTAGTTTTTCTCCCTTTGCTAAAGCTCCCAACCCCGTTCGAGTAAGTGACTCACTGCCTTCCCCTGTCTTTCTTACCCTCAATATGCCCCTTGAGAGTTAAATTTTCCAATTTTATGTGTCCAATGAATTTCAGTTAACTTTTCCTTATTCTAAGTATTCTCTCTGATGCCAATTTTAAAGACTTTCTAGTTGCTTACTCTCTCCTTCCATGGATTTCTCAGCATCCTTCAGTAGACACACATTGATATTGCTTGTGTAAAACCAATAATAATTTGAAAGTGAGGATGGCATGTGGCAGAAGTTATTGGACTAAAATTTAAATCACTCTATATGGCGGAAAGCATCACTTGCATACAATCCCACAAACATCATCCACGTGCTTTTAAGCTCATTCAGTGGATCAGTAATACTTTAGGAATATTTCTGTGTTTTAACCTGAAAAAATCAAGTTTTATATACTTCCAAATTCTCAAAGATAGTCTTTTAAAATTGCCAAAAACTCAACTTGAGTGACAATTTTCTCTTCCAACAGGACAATAACAGGAAAAAGTATACAATAAAATACAACGAGAAAGGATTTAGATTAAACAATTTAAATTCAAAAAGTAGCCAAGTCAGTTCTCATCCTGGGTATGACGATCAACTACATCCGACTGCAAGGCTTCTGATTAGGAGATTTCGAGGAGCATGGGACCACCTCTTAACTGTTGTTGTTCCCAGGTCCACCCTGACTTGGGGGCTGGTAGCACATGTTAGGGTCCAAGCTATGGGTAAATAGTTAACACCCAAACTGGGGTCAAAACATTTTGAAAAAGTAGAAATACATTTTTATAATGAAAGTGCCTGCAATGCATTTTTGTAAGGAAAAAATATTACCACCAATACATTTTTGTATAAGGAATTACTAATGCCCCAGCCCAAATTAAATTTCAGCATTAAATGATCCATAACGGCTTGATATTTAGTTAAACAAACAAAGCAATCAAACCAAACTAGTTGAATGTTATTGGAAATCTGTGGCGAAAGCTTAAATTGGTTGGGTATCGTAAATTAAGATCATTGATGGCACTGGAGAGAAAATAAGTTCTACTTCATGTGATAAAGTTGTATGAAGCTATAGTAAGAGACCAAAAGCAGTCATTGTGGAATACGAGACTTATACTTACTGTTAGTTTAGAATACAAATTAAAGAATGAATATAATTCCCGAACAAGTAAATGACTTTTCTCAAAGATGGTCTTGCAAATGTCATTTCACAGCAAATAAACTCGGCATTGCTTTTTTGATGTTGCTGGGCTATGTTAGATATAAGATATTGTATTTCCTTCAAAAATTGGTTTAAAAAAAAATAACTCAACATATTTCAAAGTGACTCGAAAGAGAACACCACGTTATCTTGTTTTGGCATCTGCTTACGCATTTTCTGCACATTTGAAATGATTTACAAATATGGTAAAAAAAGATACAATCTTAAATTCGATGAACGCTTGATCTGTTTTTCATGTGTGAGCGAAATATTCAAGTCTCCGGAAGCAGTTAAACAGATAAATCCCCAAAATTCAGTGTTATTGCTTTGATTGTTGGTGAAAATTCGGTCGATGTTTCTATAATAAGAAAAATTGACTTGCAAAGGAAGATATTTCTTCATTTGGTTTTATATACTTTAAGTCCCTCTGCGACTGAATGAGTAACATTTAGGGTTGTTCCTCTCTCTTTCTGTATATATATATATATATATATATATATATATATATATATATATATATGGTTAATAGTAGAATGCAGAATCATATTCAAACAAAGTGAAGATAATTAGATAAAGTGGAAAAAGCTATTCAGTTACGTTTCGTCTTTTATCGTGAGCGTCCAAGCTAGACCAAGTGACAAAATCATGTGTATCTCAACACATTTTCTTACATATTGAGGGCGCATAGTCTTGGATTGAAACGCGTAGGTGAATAGATTTTCCACTTTTTCTTATTATGTACATTATATATATATATATATATATATATATATATATATATATATATATATATATATATATATATATGTATACACACACACACACACACACATATATATATATATATATATATATATATATATATATATAAAGAGAGAATAAGACAGAATGTGAGATAGACATAGGAATGAACACTGTCGGTGACTCAGTTTCACACTTCAATGTGATCTTTATTGACGTGCGAAAGTCACAGTCACCGTGCAGTGTTTATTCATATGCCCACATTCTCTATATCTGTATACGTTCTATCTCCGACAAGGGACACTTTTTCTTTATAAATATAATAAATCTATCTATCTATCTATCTATCTATCTATCTATCTATCTATCTATCTATCTATCTATAACCAACATGGGACTTTCATCAGATTGCTTTATTTGTCGCAAGAATTAGTGCTCAATTTGCATAAATTGTTGCATCACTTTTTCAGACTTGGGTCGAATAAATAGAAATGGAAGATCAATGGAGCTAAATTACTTGAATACAATACCAAAAAAAATATTTATTAATTCTTTTTGTTTAATTTTACGTTTTTCCTTTTGATTTGCTTAAGCCAAACAGATGTCAGATTTTATTCAAATTTGAGCATAGCTCTTTATAAACGAATTGCTATTAAAAATCAAACACACACGCGCGTGCGCATGTATATGTTTTTTTTTTTTTTTATTAATCCGGCAGATTTGTATCACTTTAAAAGTTATTTTAAGGGATATTCATATTTGAATAGGCGTTCCGTTTATGTATTGAAAAGTATATTTATTTATATACACCTACCGGACTGAAATTTCGGGGAATCTTATTAAAGAAAAATTGTCGCCCTACAGAGCCGTATTATGTAGTTATTTGCTGAATTTAGATTTCAAAAATTCATTGTATAATGTTAGTTCCATGATAGCAATTTTTAGTGTCCCATATCGTTAGATTTCCACAATTCTTTCTATTTTTAAAGGTTTCTACTAAGAATTTGTTATCATTATAGATATGACATACATATGACGGAAATGCCCCTCACGCTAAAATTCTTCCTTGGATAGTGTTTTTCCCTTTTGATTTAAAATTCATCTCCTGGGATCCAAATGTCTCTCGTTTGAGAATCACTGATCTATGGGATAAGTAATCATCAATGATTTATGTGTATTTACAAGGAAAATTCAGGCGACGACATATTGATCCCCACTCGGAGAGAGAAACAAATTCAACCGACCGTTATAATTCAATGTAAGCGTTAAAGTCTACATTTAGCGTCACTTATCAAAATAATGTAACAATTGATTTTTTTTTTCATTTTCTTCTTTGAATTGCAGTGTCTTCAAGCAGCAGACGGGCTGGCGTTTTTACACAGTTGCAAACCGTCAATATTTCACAGGGATGTCAGATGCGCGAACATTTTCATTACAGATCAGGATATTGTTAAGGTAACTAACAACTGAATGTATATTCCTTAACTGATATTAAATTGATGTCAACATTTTCAACGCTGTCTTTTAAATAATGTTGGGGAAATCTGAGAAGTGTCTCTGAATTTTTTAATGTTTTTGTGGGGAAAATAGAAACGGCCTACCTCGCAAACGTTCTCGCATCTTCCTGGCCTGTGGGTTGAGAAAGGAAAGAAAAGATTCAAAATGGCGTCCGTGACTTTTAATATTCACGGTCTCGTGCAGTCACGCAAAGTCGCGTTACACACATGCTAATGAGGTGTGTCTGGGCTCCATAAAAGCAGGTTGCTTGGAGACATTGGCAGACCAACATTTCACCCGTGCTTGGTGTACATCGTTTTGCGTTGCAGACATTTTCAGACGGAAAGAGTTGCGTCCCTTACACTGTTTAAGTCGACTCATTTGCTACAAGCTATTTCGGCAATTATTACAGCATGGACAGATTCGACTTGAAGTTAATACCAGAGTTCGACGGCTCCCCCGCTGGCCCGTCTGTGGTCGAGTGGTGGGAAAAGGCCGAGCGGGTCTGCCGGCTGTGTAAAATTAAAGATCCCGCACTGGTTATCCCTCTTAGACTCACCAAAGGAGCTTACGCTGTGTATCAGCAGCTAAGGGATGACGCAGACTTGGAGGAAATAAAACAAGCTCTATACGCAGCATTTGGTGCGGACCCCTTTGTCGCCTGGAGGCAGTTTACCGAACGACGGCTTGGACCGGATGAAACAGTAGATGTCTTTCTGGCCGATTTGAGGAAGCTGGCCGCACCGTTCGGTGGAGCAAGCGACCAAATCCTGGGATGCGCCTTTCTGGCAGGACTCCCCAGACAACGCAAGTCGACTGCTACGAGCATCGTCAAGTCTCAATGAGCTGGGGCTAGATGAATTACTGGCCAGAGCCCGGAATATTCTAAAAGATGACGCGGAGCCGGCCTCAGCAGCTGTGGAAGCACCCGCACCGCCAACTGAGGACATAAGGTGCTATAAGTGTGGCGGACTGAACCACTTCTCCAAAGACTGCCGAAGCCGTGCGAAGGATACGCATAACCGAGGAACACGGAGACGTATGCGTTGCTACAGGTGCGACAAGCTGGGCCACGTAGCAAGAAGCTGTCCGGGAAACGGGCAGGGGAGGCTACAGCGCCAGTCTTCTCCCAGATCGCCGCTGAACAAGGCGCTACCCGCAGTGAGCGTGCGGATTAACGGGCGTGAGCGCTTCGCGCTTTGTTGACACCGGGTGCACCCAGACCCTTGTGCGCAAGGCATGTTGTGACACGTGGGACAAGAAAAATATTCCAGTTCTGACTGTTGGCGGGGGCTCGCTAACCTCTTGTGGAGTGAGCGTCATCCGCGCAAGCATCGGCGATGGGCCTGCAGTAGCTGTACAAGCCCTGGTCGTGGACGGAGGGCTGCTCGGCTATGATCTGCTCCTGGGAATGGACGTCATCAAAAAATTGGGTGGTGTCCGTGTTGACGAAGAGGGTCGGGCGCGTTTCACTGAAACAGGTCTAGCTCTAGGTGCAGCAATGGAGCTGGAACGGCCTGACTTTCGTGCGGAGTTCGACCAGCGCACAAAGTCCTGGACGGTATCTTGAAATGGTCAGACGATCAACCGCCAGAGAAGCTGTACAACAGTGTGCCGGAGTATAAGATCCCCCGCGAGCTCGTGCGGAGTACGACAAGGAATTGCGAGCCTGGATTAATAACGGTGGTTGGTTCCTTATCCAGAGAAGGAATTGGGGCCCCCAAAGGGCCTGATCCCGCTAATGGCGGTTCTCCAGCACAACAAACAAAAGGTGAGGCCGGTGCTCGACTATCGAGAACTGAACGAGCACGTGGACCCTTTTACTGCCCGCGCGGACGTGTGTACCGAGAAACTAAGGGAATGGCGACAAGCAGGATCAAATGTATCTGTGCTGGATCTTCGCAAGGCATACCTTCAAGTGCGTGTGCACCAATCACTGTGGCCCTATCAAACCGTGCTTATCAAGGGGCAACGGTATTGCCTGACCCGCATGGGGTTTGGACTCAATGTGGCGCCATCGATTATGCAGATGATTGTTGACGCCATTCTAACGAAGGATGAGCGCATACAGCGGGCAACATCTGCATATATTGATGACGTGTACGTGAACGAGGGAGTCGTATCTGCGGCGCGCGTGAAGGAGCATCTCTACAACTTTGGCCTCCTCAGCAAGGAACCGGAGAGACTACAGGATGGTGCACGGGTGCTTGGTTTTGCAGGTCTGGGGAGAAGATAACGTCCTGTATTGGAAACGGGGGAAACGAACTCCCAGACATGCCCTCCGTTGTCACGCGGCGAAGCATATTTTCCTTGTGCGGCAAGTTAGTTGGACACCTTCCTGTAGGTGGCTGGCTGCGTGTTGCGGTGGCGTTTATCAAGCGGAGAGCATCTGACGTCACCACTGGATGGGATGACGAAGTTCACGACGCCCCTCTCAACACCATGATGAAGGAGGTCCTCGCTAGAGTACGCAAGGAAGACCCAGCGCGGGGCAGATGGTGCGTTGACAGCCAAGACCTCTGTGTGTGGGTTGACGCAAGCTCTCTTGCAACCGGCGTATCGATAGTTCACGATGGAGCCGTGGTAGAAGATGCTTGCTGGTTACGTCCAGAAAGGGACTCCCAGCACATAAACCTAGCGGAGCTCGATGCTGTCATCAAGGGGATCAACTTGGCGATCCTCTGGAAGTCGACCACCCTGCGTCTGTTCACTGATTCCGCTTGCGTTTATAAGTGGATCTCTGATACCTTGACCGGGAGGGCCAGGGTGCGGACTAAAGCCACCAGCGAGATGCTTATCCGACGACGGCTCGACACGATCGTGAATTTAGTGCAAGAGTACGCACTGACAATGGAGGTGTCCCTGGTCAAATCTAGCCTCAACAAAGCAGATTGTTTAACGAGGGTGCCGCAAAAGGTGGCTTGACGCCGCTAAGAAAGCCATTGAGCCCGTGCAACCAGCCTGCGCTGCGTCCGTGAGTCCCGTTCGATTTAATCAAATCAAAGAAGTCCACCAACAAAGTGGGCACCCTGGAGTCAAGCGGACACTGTATTTCGCCAAGTTGGTTGACCCAGGAGTACAAAAGACAGACGTCAGGAGAGTGGTCAGAAGCTGCGTGGCGTGCCAGTCTATAGACCCAGCACCCGCTCGCTGGAAGAAAGGGCAGCTGAGCGTGAGGAACCACTGGAGCCGGCTGGCGATAGATGTTACTCACCACAACGGCGAGCATTTCCTGACACTCATTGATTGTGGTCCATCCAGGTTTGCGATATGGCGACTGCTGCGTCGGCAAGATGCAGCCACTATCATCCGTCAGTTAAACAGCATCTTTCTTGAACGTGGCCCCCAACGGAGATATTAACCGACAATGGCACCGCATTCACCAGCGAGCAGTTCGAGAAGTTTGCGGATGGCTGGGGAGTGCACTTACGGTTCCGGTGCGCCCACGTACCGAGTGGAAATGGAATCATCGAGCGGAACCACAGGACCGTCAAGACCATCGCAGCCAGAACGGGCTGCACGGTGTCTGAGGCGGTCTACTTATACAACGTGACCCCGAAGGATGATGTCTCACCCTCTACGGCGCCAGCAGACACATTGCATAGGTACCACGTTAGAGTGAAGGGCATAGAAACCAACCCACTGACGGAACTGAAAGTAACCGGAGAGAGGCTGAAGAAAGGCGATGTCGTCTGGATTAAAAATCCGCACAGCAAGTGCACCACGAAATACGGAATCGGACGCGTCACTGAGGTGATCAGCCCACAGGCGGTACGGGTCGACGGTGTGCCCCGTCACGTTAAGGACCTGCGTCCGTCGACGCAGTTGCAACCACCGCTGGACGATGAGAGCGAATCGGAATCTGAGACCAGTGAGGCATCGCTCTGGTTCACGCCAGCCCCATCAGGCAGTGACTCGGATATCAGTAGCCTTCCAAGGGACGCGATGTCTTTCGACCCTCAGACCTCAGACAGGAGCACAAGCAACGATGAGGCTCGCAGCGTCCCTCTTCGAAGAAGTACCCGGCGCAAGCGATCACCACCTTCCTGTCAACTCTGTGATCATGAGATCAGGGGGGAGTGTGGGGAAAATAGAAACGGCCTACCTCGCAAACGTTCTCGCATCTTCCTGGCCTGTGGGTTGAGAAAGGAAAGAAAAGATTCAAAATGGCGTCCGTGACTTTTAATATTCACGGTCTCGTGCAGTCACGCAAAGTCGCGTTACACACATGCTAATGAGGTGTGTCTGGGCTCCATAAAAGCAGGTTGCTTGGAGACATTGGCAGACCAACATTTCACCCGTGCTTGGTGTACATCGTTTTGCGTTGCAGACATTTTCAGACGGAAAGAGTTGCGTCCCTTACACTGTTTAAGTCGACTCATTTGCTACAGTTTTAAACCCAAACAAAGCGATGAGCGCTACTAACATGCAAAAAGGTACAGAGTGTTAAACGAAACAAGGAGGACAATAAAAAAAAGAAAATTCAAGGCGACAGAAGATAACGATTGTCATTGCCTTTGAGTTTTTGAAGATCATAATTGACAGGAAAGCTGGAGATAGTTCTATAAACGTGAAATACGGGAGAAGGAACTATTAGCATAAAAGTTACGGTTTCATCTAGATATTTCAACAGTGAAATGTTGAGACCTATCTGCCAATCTAGTACTGCACTTAAATTTGTGAAGTCGAGATACTAAAGACGAAAGCTTGCCGTGAAAATATTTATAAAAAATCGTCAGTTATAATACAGCGGTGGGAGAGTGATTGACGTTGTGGTGTCATGTCAGGACAGATACTGTTGCAGACACTTTCTGGAATTTTATCATGATATAGTGGGGGGGGGCGCACCAGGCCAATTGTGGTAGCAATATTCGAGGCACGGATTAATGCTAGACTTATAAATGTGCCAAATAGATTTTGGCGAGAGAAATTCTATGCCACGACATATTGACCTGACTCTTCTAGCAGTAAATCTGACAATTAATTCAGTATAATCGTTCAACTTCATGTCAGTGGACAAACAAGGCACAGTTTGCTGTTCTCCTGGAGGTTAGAATCAGCCATGCTGATTGAAGACAAAAAGATTCTTTACGATGATTAATAGAGAGCAGTTTCGTTTTGGATACTTTCTGTAATTAGTCAGTGTTGTTTCTATGACGGATTTTGGCGCGGTAAGTGGAATCGGCGAACCAAGATCAAATTTCAGGCTGTTGCATACACTTTCGCACAAATACCACCCTCGCCTAGTTATGGGATAAATATGAAAATAGACTGAGTTCTCTCAGCTTAGGTAACAACTAGTTTCAGAGAAGGAAAAACTGAATTCCAAACCCTGGAGAGTGTAACGGGGAAACCACTGCACCATCTTCTCAAGAATGCAGGCCAATTAGGTAGTACATTGTTTACAAATCATAGAAAATTCTTAGTTGCCAGGAAAATGGACTCGATATGAATTCACGGATTGAAACACCAGTCTGCTTGTAAAAATTCGCCCTTCTTTTTTGTTCGAACACATTTAAAAATACATTTAGACAAGGTATTCACTGGAGAGATGTATGTTTAGCGTGACGTTTATCGGCTTGTAAAACGGAATAGGCGATCTGAGTTCAAATTCTAGCTTCGTCTGTTGCATTCACATGGCACTAATCTCCATGCTAGAAGCATCAGTCTGTTTCTTCATCCTCAGCTGTTTAACCTTGATTAGTAGCCAGTCTAGAAGAAGGACAATTCATAACTGTGCAGAATGCAGATAACAATTGGACACGAAAAACTTAAATCTAAGAAGACTAGCAATGTTGTGTAAGACGAGATTATTCGTCATCGTTCTACAAGTATCATGTTACAATTTCACCATGTCATTCAGATGGACTTTTTTGGTGCACGTATTTAAGGATAAATCATGAAAACTATAATTTGTTCAACAACGCACGTAAAACTTTTTATCAGCGCTTGATGAAGTGGGAAGAAAATGAGTTTTCTGAGAGAATTAGATATCCTATAAGGATGCATTATTGGCGGACGCAATCTTATCAGCATAAGATATGCAGATGACACAGCGTTGATAGCGGACACAGAAAGGAAACTACAAGAATCCCGACAGAATGCAGTAAAGGAACGCAAGAAAAAAAGGACGAAATATCAATTTGCCAGAAGACGGACTGCATGACTGTTAGAAAAAGGAACAGTCCAACATACAAATTACAAACTGGAGATACGAAAATCAAACAATAACAACAATTTAGATATGTGGAAAATGTTTTACTAGAGAACGGAAAGTGCGACATCGAAATCCAAAAACGTATTAGAATAGCGAAAGATGTCTTTCAAAGGCTAAGCAAAATATTAAGAAACAGGAAAATTTCATTAGAAACAAAGAAAAGAGTACTGAACCCTTATTTAATATCAGTCCTGTTATATGCCAGTGAATACTGAACAATACCCTTCAAAATGAACAAAAACATGAAGCAAAAGAAATGTGCTTTTACGAAAGGATGCTGAAAATAATGAGGAAAGTGGGTTGGGAAAATCTGATACTCAGAGGACAGATTGAAGGCAAGAGGTACAGAGGAAAACAGCACGGAGCCTACCTAGCGAGCTTGAGTAAATATATGGCTGAGCAAGGTTTAGGAGGTATAACAATAAGATATAATTTATTAAGAGAAACAAATGACAGGAAATTGTGGAGAGCCATGATCGCCAATATTTTGAAAGGATACGGCACATAGAATAAGTGACAGATTTGGCGCAAACGTCAGAGAGGCGTGATGATGTGAACATTAATTTAAATTGCATTATAAGATTTCTTGATGGCGTCAAAATTATTAAATTATTATTTTACCTCACTTGCGTTTGTCGATTTGCTAAATGTTGGCCACATTAATTTTGCAGGTGGCAGATTTTGGAATTACAAAATTACTGCAGCCTTTACGGGAAGAATGTACAAAGGAAGAATGTGTCTGTAAGTAGAAACATATTAATTATCAGTTGTCTTTAGTTTGATTAATATTGCATATAAACAATGAGTAATGAGGACTTAGAATCGGGTACACAATAGAAAGTTTTAATCAAACCGAACCACACACAAATATGGGCAGCAATCTTTTATTTATACCAGTTTGGTTAAAGATCAACGAAAATTATTTTTAAGAATTTTTTCGTACATTTTTCTGGTTTTTAAATAAAAAATTATCCATGTTTAAATACTTTCACAGGCCATTATCAAAGATTTTTCTTGTTTTTTGTTCTATGTGGGTTTCCTGGTTTTTCAAATATCGCGTCTTCGCGTGTCATATAGGTTTCTTTTCAGAGTATCGCGTCTTCACGTGACAATTCGTGTTGTGTCATTTTTATTTATGATATATATTTAGTATGTTTGTTTCTGTATTTGATAATATTATATTTATATTAGGTCGATTGTTTTGTATGCTTAATGCTTCTGGTATTTGTAGGCGTTTTATTTTACATTTTATGTGATATAGTATTTTGCCTTATTGCCAAAGATTTTTCTATCTTGTGTTTTGTTGTTGTCTTGGTTGGAGATATGTAATTTAAATGAATCATTCCCCCACAAAAAAAAAAATGGCACGTTAATGAACGATACGTTTTGTTTGAATTATTATTATTATTAGAAAGACACTACACACACACACACACACACACACACACACACACACACACACACACACACACACACACACACACACACACACACACATATATTTGTGTGTGTGTACATATATATATATATATATATATATATATATATACATACATACATATATATATATATATATATATATATATATATATATATACATACATACATACATACATATATATATACATACATACATACATATATACATATATACATATATATATATATCATATAAATATATATATATATATATATATATGTGTGTGTGTAATGTCTGTCTAATAATAATAATATATATATACATGTATGTGTGTGTGTTTTGCATATGAACAATTTTTTAAATATTTTTTTTATGTCCGGCGCCATAATTCAAATAATTTGATGGTTTTTATCAATGACAATTTGGTGCCTTTACATTTTTTGCAAAACACAAACTTTTCATTACTGAAAGAAACACTCTAAAATATTCATACGCGGGAAAGTCAAAAATTATCCGCACTCTTGTCTAAAGAAATGTTATGGTAAAAGTGCGGATAATTTCTGACTTGGCCTCGTATTTATGTTTTCAAAAAAGGCAATAATACAATTTATTTTCGCTACATAAAAATCATTTTTTTCAGACTAAAGTTCCCCAAGATAAGGCTTGGGAGTCACTCAATATCGAGGGTTACTTTTAAAATGGTAATGACAAATAAGGTGCGTGATATGAATGAAAAAACTGGAAGAAAGTAAAGATTATGAGGATAAATAGGATAGAAGACAATTCCCCCTTGACTGAAGGAGGTCAAAGTTGAATTGTTCATGGAAACAAACGCATGAAGACATCTACACACCTTGTAACGGACAATAAATCCTGTTATCACCCAAGAAAAATAGATAGTGAGACATTATTATTAGTATAAACAAAGTTTACTTTCTCTCTAATATTTAAAAGATCTGATGCAAAATATTTTACATCACAGTTTTGAAAATAATGTACTTATTATGTGCTATTTAAAATTGCTTTCCTGCAACATTCAGCGAGTGAAATGTTTCATCTTAGAAGAGTTGAAAACAGAATTCAGAGAATAAATAATAAGTATATTGAAATCTACAATTTCACAATTTGTTGTCTGAAAGCTACGTTGATGAAAGAAGGTCCAACATTTGAAGGAAAGGCCCCAAAAGATACAAAGAGAATGCATTAATAGATAATATATTCAAAAAACTATTTAAAATCTATGTTAGTCTGTTCAATTAGTCTGTTGAATTTATCTCTCAATACTCACCAATTCTTATCTATCTATCTATCTATCTATCTATCTATCTATCTATCTATCTATCTATCTATCTACTAATCTATCTATCTATCTTAAGCTGGTATAAATATACCTGCTGGAAATGCGAAACTTCTAAATTGATCCTAAACAGTAACAATGGTGTTACGCTCCTGTATAGTCTAATTTTCAACAAAGTGGCATTGTATACACTTATAGTGCTTTCGAGTTAACCCATGTTTCTAAGCTTGATCTAAAATTGTTATATATAATAAATAGGAGCTAAGTTGTGAAAGTTCTTTTCTTTTGTTATGATGCTATAGTGATAGGAAATAGTGAGAGTGTTTAATTTTTCTTTTAAATAAAATGGCCGTTCACGTTATAGACAATGGTGATGAAATAGTTTCTCTATTAGTTTCTAAAATCATTTGATGGGATCATTTTTAGTTTCATGTTTTCTAAAATATAGCTGATATTAGCTCATTTAGGACATATGAATTATATTTTTGATGAAACTGTTGTGTGGCACCATTAGAACACTGGCAATATTTCTTATGAAAAAGTTAAAAAAAGAAAACAAAACAAAATGATTGAAGCACGCCAAACAATTGTACAAACTGAAGTCACTCTCTTTTTGATATTTACAAAACTTTGCTCAGTATGGCATAGGGTCACAAGCAAAGAGCATTCAGTGGGGCTTCAACTCATTTCACTTGTAATGGTATGTAATTTTAACTTGTTGACCATTGCTGCACGACGAAACGTTCTAGCGATTTGATTAGTGTAGCTGAGATATGCCACAAGTCATCGATTTCGTTTTTGTTTCTTTTAAACATAAGCAGATTATATGCAAATTAATGACCAACCTGGAGAAGCTGATGGGTGACAATAAACTAAGCAGATTACAATTCAACGAGCATAACGTAAAATTCAATTCGAGCTGACTCTTTTTTAAACCTTCTGTTACTACTGTAGAGCATTGTCACAGTATTATTGGTGTAGGGGTTCTCACTCAATCACCCATCACAGATATATAATTTACTTCTTCATTTCTACTTATTGTCTTGATTGTTCTTTATGTTTTTATAGCACAAATAAAAAGGACAAAAAGGTTTTATTCTGAAAAAAATTGAATTATAAAGCCGACATTAAAAATGAATTTTAAGTTTCAAAAATTAAAATATGGAAAAATCATTTTGAATTTATTTCCTGTAAAAACTAAAGCTACTCGTAATTCACATAAATATTATGAAAGCAAAAACTGATTAGTCTTACTTGATAAAAAAATATCCAGAAAACCACTTGCTTAATCATAAGAATTTACTTGCAACTTGCTAAATATTAAGAAAAACCATTTGGCGAGGTGTTCAAGCATCTGGCATTATTAACGGAGGTTTAAGGGAGTTCTTGTTTTAATTTGACGATCTCTGATTTATCAAGGGAGATAACTTTGTAAAGTAAGTTACTATGGACATGATATGAGCAGTAGGCCAGGTCGATTTTGGAACCGTAGTATTGCACTCAGTTTGAAAGTTGGGGTTTGATATGATAAATGATACAAAATATATTTTCAATATAGTTACCCTCTTTTGAAGAAACGAGTTTAAAGATTAAGTTTAGGTTCCAAATTATAACGTTGAAATTTAACTCCGGTGATCAGTGAAAACCTTATAACACAGCCTTATAAAAATTATAATTTACTGAATCTTTACAAATTGTATATAGACAAAATTCACAAACACATAATTACTAGATCATTGTACCATCAAATAAGACCTTCATTTACTTCAAAGGGAAGTTATACTAAACAATTTAGCTATATTATCATATAAAATGTTATACAGTGCAGTAGTGTTAGTGTGATTTTCAAAAAAACAATGCAAATTTAAAATATTTTGTCTTCTACTTTGTACCCAGTATTATAGTATGATATACACTTTTATCTATTTTTGTTTTATTAATTAGGATTTAACAAATGATTTAACAAATATTATTCATTCAGTAGCCGTTTTTGTGAAGTTTTAGAATGTTTTTACAGTTTTTACTTATCGAATACAATAAAAACTGCATATTTTGCTTGAGGTGATTCATAATTAAAATTCTGGTTTCAATATATTTTACATTCAGTGTATCTAATACAAAAGATATCAACTTTATTTGGATTTATTCTTCAAATTGTAAAATTTAGGATCATTTTGTAAAGAAAAGTCTGCGCAAATTAGGTATTTCTGTACATTTTCTTTAGACGATATTTAAAAATATATTCTCAAAACTAGGCAAAAGTTATGAATCTAATTTTTTGATGGTAGTCGAATCCATTACATTCATTTACGTGCTAATACCCTTGCGAAAGGTATGAATCCTCTTCTTCTCTCTCCTCCTCTAGCTATGGGTAAATAGAAGGACAAACCGGGTTCTATTGCCTGGGATGGCAACTGGTCTACAGAAGAAAGTAATGGAAACCTACTGTGGGAAAAAATCTGCCTCATCAGTCAAAAGTATCGAAAGATACATGATCGCCTAGGTGTCTATCACGCATGGCACATAACTGACTGAATTATCATATGAAAACCCAGCTTTCACACCAAGTGCAATGTTGGTTTTCTGAAAAAGCGAAAAATCAACTTGCTTTGGCAGCATTCTAGTTTAAATCTGTAATGAAAAAGAAAACTATCAAAAATAACTTGTTAAAAAAAAAAAAAAAATAATTGAGGATTTTTTTAATGATTTTAAAAATGATTTAATCCCAAGAAAGTCGATAAAGTTGCTAACATGCAAGTGGTTATTGAGAGTGGAAGAATCTGAGAAAGCATTATTAAGGAACGAGGAAAATAAAAGAACAGGGTACGTATTATAAGTAGATTATTATTATTAGTGTTTACTACTCTTAACTCACAAGGCTATAAGCGTCCGGCACCTATGAGGATACAAATGGATGTGCAAAATGTATAATGGTTATCGGCGTGGAAAGTAAATCGGCGAACCTAGATCAAGTTCCCGACTATTCTCTTACTTTTCTTTTTTCACAAATAAACTGAAGGAGGT